ACGGCGGCCAGAACCAGCGCCGCGCTCTCGTACTCCGCGCCCGCCGGCTGGCAGCTCTCCAGGATCAGGTTCAGCTGCGGACACGGCTCCACCGACACCGGCGTCAACTTGCACAGGATGTACAAACAGTCTACAAACAAACATTACAGGATTAGAAATTACGTTTGCATTTGATAGTACAATTGTTAAAGCAGATTACATAATAATATAGCCTAAGTTACTCAGTTATAACGTAAGTATTTATTGGGGATAGAATTTTCGAAATCGGCCCAGTAGTTATTGAGTTATTTCAATACATACAAAAGTAACAAATCTTTATAATATTAGTATGGATAGTATAGATTACGACATAATGATATGACTCTAAGTGGAACAAAAATGAAAAAAAAAACTAGGCGACAGACATTCTAATACTTAAGCTTTAGTCAAAAATGAAATAGCATACAAAAACAAAAGACTCTAAACATTTTATTTGAATAAGTCTAATATGACGTAGTTAATCTGACAAAATCCCACCAGAATACTGTCTCTGTGTGACATCCGCGCAAAGCCTGTCTGCGAGCTGGGTCAGGATGTGTCTGGTGGTGGCGGGCTGCGCCTTGCACAGCCGCACCAGTATCAGCTTGCCGTGTGACCACAGGACAGTCGCTACTGGCTTCACACGCGACACGCCCAGTAGGGAGAACGCCAAGTTGATCAAACCCAGTACCGTTAACTCACGGTGATTGGCACTGGAAATTTAAATGTGTACCTTATTTGACTTTATTTCTTACGTTATTAAGAATATAAGATTTTTCCAGCGACTTCGACTCGGAATTTTAAAAAAAAGTTCTTGATTATGAGCTGTTCCAGACTATGTTCTACAGCTGTACCAAATTTCATCGAGATCGACATCGATAACAAACATCGATAAATACAATATTTCTATATTAATATTACAGGTTATTTTAGGCGGAATGTATGTTTTTATCTATGCATGTCTGTGTCGAGATGTCCTTGCTCAGTTTTCGTATTAACAACAAGAACAGTAACAAACAAATTTTTAATTGGGCTAAAAAGAACTCATTGTATTAATCGTATGCTGAAATTATTTGATAACAGATAAGACATCTTACCTCTCAGCAGTAAGCACTTTGAGCACACTGACCACATCGACGTCAGGCGGCAGCACGGATCGCACGCACGCCGACTGCTTGCAGCGCAGCTCGTCCAGCGCTCGCTGCTCTATTGCTGACTTTATTGCCTTAATACACAATTAAAAAATAGTAATAGATGAATTAGATAATAAAAAAGTAAGAAAAAAAATTAGTTAATAGAAATTTTTAAAATGCAAATTTTACGACGTAACATAAACACACTATAAATAACCAAAATCTACAATTGTTCCTAAACACAATTTCAAAAAAATTAAAACTAATTTTAATGTTAATTTGAAAAAAAAAATGAATCGCAAAATTGTGACTTACCACAGTGTACATAGGAGCCTCAAAATAAAATTATAAAAATACTTACATCTAAGCATACAGATTTAAATTCAGCACCCTTGTCTGAGACAGCGAGTGCTATATCAATAAGGAAGGGAGCACGGAGTAACTGGGTCTTGGGCCATGTTTTGATATGCTTCTTTATAAGATCATGTTCCGCAGCACCTTGTGTCATATGATAGATGCAAGTTGATAGACAACTGCTCAATTCAGCCGGACTGTATTGTGCTGAAATAGTATTACTTTTCTTTACTTGCGGGTGAAAATTAATCGCTTGCATGTTTACTATCAGTGAACAATTCAAAGATATATGTAAAAGACCCAACCCGCACTGAGCCAGCGTGGTTGAAGGGCTGGTCATCCTTACTTTAGGGTAGGCTCTAAGCCCCTTAATATGAACATAGAGTGAGCTGTTGCTGAAATGTTTAAATGTCTAGGTTGTCTTCCATGTAGTTTATAGCAATAAAATTAGTCATATTAGAATCGTTTTTCGGTCACTTAAGTAGTATGTTACTGTTGTACTTGTTACTAAGTAAGACCCTTAGGCAGACACCATAGACATCTATTTATTATATACTAGGTTAATTAAAACTTCAGCAGTAGCCTTAGCTTTCAGGATATAAACTATGTATATTAGAAATTTCAACCAGATCCATTTAGCTTATATTGGTATATGTAATAATTTGTTACTATTGCATAGTTATCATCCATCCATTCAAATTCGCATTTACATTAAGTAAGCATAGTTACCTAAATCATCAATGTCTATGGTTGTAGATTCAGAATCCTGTGGCGGAGGCTCCAGTTTACTATACAGATGTAAGTTAAAGTAATGACTTAAATGTGCCAGCACAATCTCTAAGTTATATAACTTGCACAGTCTGAAAATAAAGAAATACAAACATACTTTATTCCTTAATTTCATACCATTGCAATGTCACTTTAATTTATATGCTAGCAGCTAGATTAAAAAAATAGCATAAGTTACTACTGCACAGATTAGCTGTAAAGTAAAATGGTCAAGCCGTTTCGTAGATTACCCAAAACAAGAGACTTGCTGATAACACACACAGATAAATGTTTTTTTTTATTATTAACAATGCAAATACACTGTTTTTATTTTGTTTTTGCATACTGCATATATTATAACTAAAGTTATTTCAGTGGAAATGCAAAGGATCTCAAACATACCTTACAAGTTGATGGACCAGTGGAGGTAGTTCCGCAGGTGTCAAGCCCATGATATGTGAACATATCTTATTAACAACTTGTTTATGATCATTTTTTGATAATTCCATCTCTCTAAAAAACATTATAATGATTAATGAATAAAATTGATGATGTCTTCAATGTTTGATTGTGATATTACTTTACATTTAAAATTTACATATCTTACTGAAATTATTTATATAAAAGTTTAGATGGATACATGAATGGATAGATGCAGAGAATATTCTGGAAGAACACACACATATAGGCTACTTTTGTTCTTTTTCATTCCACATAGAGTCTTGGGCTAAATGAAAATTTAATAAAATTGTTGCATTTTTTTGTTCTCCACAAATTATGGCAATTTTATTTTAAATACCAACCGGAACATTGCCGTAAGTTGTACAAGCTGATGATCCTTCCATCTGCATTGACATAATGTGCGTATACACTGCTGTTTGTAGTCAGCTCCTGTCAAATCTGTACCACAGTGGTTTACACTGTTGTAACTAGCAATTGCATTCAAATGTTCAGGTAGAATATCCTTCCATCTAAAAATATGAGAGGTTTTTAATCAGGAGTATTGACCGCCACAACAGTTAGAGAAGTTATCATACTTATATTATAAATGCAAAAGTTTAGATTGATGGATGGATTTTTGTTAAAGTTTGTAGCCTAAATTACTGAACTGATCCGGATTAAATTTTTATCTCTATTTCGATTTAATAATATTTACCCTCCTAGAAGCTATAGTTAAAAATTTATAACATTATAATTAAACTTACATCATATTTTTGTCACTGTCTTCAACAATAGATTGCACACAATCATCACACCATCTAACTAAATTTGTGACACTCTGTCTCGGTAATTCTGGCAGCACTCTGCTCATAATATCACTACCGTGAGTGAGTGAAGTGGATTCTTTTCTCAGTGTGTTTAGCACAACATCTATTATCTGTAAATATAGATGTACACATAGTCATTTACAACTCAACTAAAACTTGCTCAAGTATGATTTATCACATCTTTTATCGTAGTTTACTTACTTTAACTTTATTCTTGTCCAAAGGTTCATCGGATAATCCATTTAATATACAATCCAGGAGACCAGCCCCATCGGAATTCAATATGCGCCGGGGTAGAAAACTGACAATCTGAAGAAAAATTTCAGGAATTTTGAAAAATGCCCTTTATTGTAATTATACCATTAAATTATTTTATACATACCTGATCAATTTTTAATTTACAATATTCTTGTAATTCTTCACGTTTGGAGCTATTTTTGCCAAGTTCTATTATTTTAGCGAACGTTTTGCTTGCCTCCATTATTAAAATTACAAAATGTAGACACAAACGCGTTCAAAAATTCTTCTTTATTATGAAATTTTACTATGTAGGGTACATATAACTTTTCCTTGGTTTTTCAGTTCCTTTCGTGCCTACTTGTTGGTTCTTGTTTGGGTTTCGCCGCGAAAACAAATTGAAATTGAAATGTCAAAGTCAAAACAAAAGTTGGATATTTGAGGCTACAGATTAAAAATAAAAGCATTAATATTTAAAAAGCAAATGGAACAAAAAAATTGACGCCAATGTAGGTATACAAAACGAGACAAGCGTTTAGGTGAAGTAATAAATCATCATCATCTTCCCTAACTTATCGTACTCCCGTAGGCTCGGTGCACAAGGTTAGGCACTATATTAAGTTTAAAAATATTGAGATTAAAGAAACACATGGTATCACTAGCAACGTCTTTTTGGTAGTGACGTCATCTTCGTCACAATTTGTCGTTTACGTTTATGTATAAAAGTAAAAACGTACTTCGTCGTACGAGTTACGAAATATTCGAATATTATAGTTAAATAGTGTGTTTTGAGTACATGATATTGTACCAATGTTTACAGTAACTATTTATTCCGTGGGAATAAGTTTACATATTGTACCTGTTCTTTTAGATAAAATAAGATAACGCAGTGACTTATACGTAACGTTACATTTTGGCGGCATTGCACGAACGAAGTCACAGAAATAGATTTCCTTGTGCAATATTCGACGTGTGCTGAATTCCATGAGACAATTTTCAAATTGAACCTGTTTATTAAATGGGTCAGGGTCCGTAGCATGCATGTGAAAGATGGTGTCAGAAAAGTGTAACAAAAACCAAAAATTCTAATAGAACGATGGAGAACCCAACTGTGGCGGGTTTGAGGTCAAGGTCTCGTTCCAAGACACCTTTTTTGCGGTCGAGCTGTGACCGGGAACAATGTATGGGAGGAGAAGATCACACACATCACAAAAGCGGCAGAAAAACACCTGTGAAGAGAAGCACACCAATCAAGTAAACATGTTTTTCTTCTATTCTTTTTAAATTAATATTATAAGGTGATATTTACGTTCTCTTACACTTTCTGAGTTCATTTTAATGTTTTTATGATAAACTTTTAAAGGTTTAAATGTAATATATGATTTCTGTGTACATCCAAAACCAATTGTTATTCAGTTTCAGTAAATTGAAAAGATCTTAGATACACTAATAACAAATTTTCATATCCATTATTACCAAATAATTTCACAATTCAAATAATTTTAAGCTGGTATCTAATTATTCAACACTAGCTGTTGCCCGTTATTTCGCACGCGTAAAGTTATGAAAAAAAATAGCCTATGTTACTTGTGGATAATGTAGCTTTCAAAAGGTGAAAGAATTTTTAAAAATAGTACAGTCGTTTTTCAATCTTCATTACAATGAAACAAAGTTTCCTCTTAATAATATTAATATGATAAAATTTGAATTTATACATACATACAGTATATTCAAATACATAACTGCATATTTACAATTGTACACCTGCTACAAAAGTATGTAGTTTGTCAAGATCTTAAATATCACCTGTCTTAACAATTTATATTTATAGGACATATCTCTTCTTAGACTCAAGTTGTTTATTCACTTTAAAATTACAAGCTGTAATAATATCTGCATTTAACACACCATTATAGCTATAAAGTAATATTTTGTAATTGCAATATCTAAAAAAATAGGAAATGTTTAACTCATGTATATTGAAAGGAAATTAGATATGAATCTATATTGATTGTGTTATCTACATTTTTATATTAGATAGTGATTGTTTTTGTGAGGGATTTATCCCTTACAATAAGAGTTAAATTCAATGTTGATTTTATAATCTATTTGTGATTTTTATTAAATTTTCGACAATGTTATAGGTCACCGATCATTGTCTAAATTAGTATATGATCAGAGTTCATTATTAAATTATTTGATAGTGTGAAACTCTGTCATCAGCTCATATGTCCCCATGGTAGAAGAAACAAAGAGCTTACCTATGTAAGGGTGACTAGACCATATTCAACCATATGTGGCCAGTATGATTAGGTATGCAACTCTGATAAGTGCAAAGTAATAGCTCTTTGTTTAAATTTGCAAACTTCAATGCCAGTGACAAAGATAAAAGCAATAGTATTATTATCATTTTGAAGAATGCCTAATTTATTAAGTTCCTTCAAATTACAAGGTTATTTACCAAAAATAATCGACTGTTTTGACAGTGATGTCATTCACAGAGAAAAGACCATGAGTGTAAGGTCACGATGCCATCAAAGCATGGTGGCCTTAACACAAATACTCAAAAATGTAAATACTGCCCAATGGGCTACTTTGTTGAATTGGTACCTGTTTTATTGTCGAAGACTAAATTCATTCTGTTTTAACATTTATTTTCTTACCTACATAATTATTTTGCCACAATAAGGGTTAAAGATTAGTGGTCTGTCCCTGCTTTGCATGGGTAGGAAAATATGCTTTTTAAATGCATTTTATAGCAATTCTAGCTGTCGCGCGCGACTCTGTTCACATGATTTTACTAAAACAAAAGTGAGTAGACAATGTATTCTTCCAGACTCCTCTATATCCATAGCAAATTTTATCGAAATCTGTTCAGTTGTTTAGGGTACAAACTCTAATATCCATCTATCCATCTAAACTTTTACATTTATAATATTAATGTGATTAAATTAATTGTGAAAGAATTTGGAAAATCAGTTGGTTTAGTAGATTTTTTTTTTAGTTTTTTCTTTACACATAAAAAGAACTTTGTAACATCTACATTAAAATATTAATGACAATAAATGAGTTCCAACACAAAAACAAATTGAAACATCTTAATTCGTTTTTATGCATATTTTTGTAAAATTAACAGAAATTAAACAAGGTTATTGATGAAGGTCAGGTTGCATTTTGTCAGATAAACATTTTATCTTCATTTAAAAGTACAGTATCTATGCTAATCAGTAAATAATGTTTTATGTTGTGATAAGTTCCAACAATTTCTTTGACCTTGACCTGAATGACGTTATTTATAGTTTTGTTGATATAAGCATTTAAGAGTGTCGGTGGCTCAATGGCTTAAGCACACTTGACTTGTAAACTACAGGTCTTGGGGTTGAATCCCGTCATGTACCAATGTGATTTTCAATTTTTCGAATTTTCATATGTACATAATTTACCCAACGTTCTTACGGTAAAGGAAAACATCGTGATGCAACCTGCATATGTCGGCGAAGGAATTTCAAAGATATGTGTGAAGTCAACCAACCCGCACTTGGCCAATGTGGTTGACTATGGCCTAGTCACCCTTGCTTAGGGTAGGCTCCGAGCCCCTCAATGGGGACACGTATAGTGAGCTGGTGATGATAATGATGAAGCATTTAACATTTGATGAACTACAGACTTATAAAGATGTTTTTATTTATTTATTTGCTTTTATCCCTGCTGTTGTTGATTCTTGTCATCTTTTCTATCAAAATTGAACCTTTAAAACTGGTGTTTATAGATGGTTTTCAAAAGTTATTATTTGTTGTTTACTTGTTTTTTAAATCATTATTTACATTTTTGAAGTCTGTAGGAAATGCAATACCCTACACCTTACCAAAGCAACACCCATGCCGGATAATATCTTTTTTCAATTATTTTTTTTGCGTTTATTCCGATTTTCTATCCAGCAATTCGTTTCAAATATTGACCTTGATTTTATTTTTAATTTTCCAAATGTAGTTCGAAGTATTCTTGCATCATTGGATGTACGTAGAGTAGTGAGTCACAGGCATCACTCCAAGGTGAATTATCTTGCTAAGTAGTAACGAATCTACATATTTACGCACGTGGCCAACCTGGCAACATTGTTTGTTTACATTTGTATACGAGTTTACGATTACCATTGTTCTGACTTAAAATGCCTAAGTTTTGGCAATTATTCAATATTTTAGATTTTAGATTATGATTTATTAACACATGTACAGAATATGGAATACTATTAAAGCTGAAAGGCTGTGAATCTCCAAATTTATCGTTGAATATTTATAGATGGTGATCCTTTTTAATCATACTTCATACTATTCATACTAATAATATAAATGCGAAAGTTTAGATGGATGGATGTTTGTTAGAGTTTGTAGCCTAAACGGCTGAAGGGATTTCGATGAAATTTGGTATGGATGTAGAGGATAGTCTGGAAGAACACATAGGCTACTTAGTTTTGTTTTTTAATTCCACGCGGGCGAAAGCTAATTAAAACTATAGTATAAAAACTATTCCGTGCTCCTTTTAAGATAGTTTTTTTTACCATAAGCTATTTTTTTATGGTTATCTTTTTGTTTCACAGTAATTATCACGATTGTCGACTACGTATGATAATGCAAATTAAAGATGGTATTAAAATGTTTCAATAGAAACTTGGTATTAGCAAAAACGTATATTCTCTTTAAATTTTTTGCCCTCTAGTTACGCGAACTGTTTCATAAAAGTCTAGAGGTCAACGAAATTAGATGTTACATATAGAATAAGACTTTAATCGAAAAAAACAGACACTTTTCAAAAACTTCAAGATGAAAATACCCTTAAAAACCAACTAGCATAGATACAGTTATGCTATTTCATAATAATAATTAAATAAACATACAAAACTTGGCATTTATAGACAATGTTGTTAACTTTGGTTAATTTTGCAGACAATTTGCGAAATCATCAAATAAGGATGGTGTGGAAGTAATAGAGGAGGACCAAGAGAATGAGAGTGTACAGGCGCACCGCACACGGCAGTCATCTCGGCTAGCCGAGAAGCTGATTAAAACCTCGGACTACTCGTCTGAAGAGAGCCTAGACCGATTGAAAGGACATCGGAAGGAAATCGTACAGGTAAACACGTTGAACAAATCAAAACATTGTTTTATTTAAAATCTTTACTCAAGGAATAGAATCCGTAGTCTTTTGATTTATAATAATACTTGCTTTCGCGAGCGACTCCGCGTGGTAAAAAAAAGTAAGTAGTCTATGTGTTCTTCAAACTATCCCTTATTTGCATGTGAAATTTAATCAAGATTTCATTTAGCCGTTTAGGCTACAAACTCTAACATCCATCCGTCCATCAGTCTAAATATTTGCATTTATAATATAAGTAAGATAAAACGCATTCAATCACGTTTAGATGCCAGATCGATTTTATGATACAACATTCCTTACAATATATGGAATGTTGGCAAATTAAACTGCAATAATCACGTACTCAGTCTTAGCTACAAGTATAACTAACTTGATAGGTGATCATCGTACTGTATTCGTTTGTCATAAAACAAACCGTTAATATCCGTATGTTTTGATATTCTAACCGTCTACTGCATAACATCTACGAAATATTGATATCTCACTCTAGTCATAGATAATGAAAGAGACAAGACTATGTTTTTGTAAATTTCGGCAATGTAAATCCACGGTACATGCCCGTATACAGATGTTTGAATGAACAGTTACATCTCTAAATTAAGTGAAAAATTACTCGCAATTTTAGTCTTTTACTCAATTTTATTTGCATTAGAATGTAGCCTAGTATGCAAATCCAGAATATTAAATTTAATACGAAGTTTTAGGCTAAGTTGTAATTTCATTTGTATTTCGGCAATCTACGGCGTTCTAAATATGGCGACCACATGGCCCCAAGGTTAAACATTTGTAATCGAGTAGTAACCCCAAACTAAATACAACAGTCAATTGATCACTAAACTATACGATCAATTAATTTATTGAGTTCATTCACCCGCATACTGTAACGTCAGTTTCAATTTAAACCAGACGCCTTGGTATCTTAATTGATTTATATTTATAATTATTAATTCCTATCTAGTAATTAGAAAACTAAAAAAAAATACTCAATGAATTAGTATTATGGTAACACCTTTTAAAAGTTTATGGCCGAAAATCTATTTCACGCTTCAGTATCATTAACTTGGCAGTTTAACATTATCAGCACGACTGCTATTACAACTCTGGTAAAAAACAAAAATCTTTCGCGCCTTTTTTTTATTTAGTGTCAATGTTCCGTCATTCAGCCAGTTAGGTGAATTTGAATTTTGAAGGTGAATTATAAGTTAATGTTATGTAAATAATTATTTAAATAAACATAAGAGACTACTTACCACTAGTAATTGTCCTTGTTTATACAAAAAACAGGAAGATTTTGACAACAAATTCACAGGAAAATGTACTACGTTGTGTGTAAAACTCGTATCGATATTCTCCCGCGTCGTTTTATTTTTAAAACGTCCGGCCAACAGTTATGGGCATTATTATTTCAGGACATCTGCACCATTTCGGTCGTACTTTTGTTAGTGACGTTGAATTTTTATAGTGAAACAAATTATACGCGTGCGAATCTTGACCTAGTTTTAACACCTCGATATAGAACACTGGATCGAGGTACGTATTCTTGATTTTAAGTTGCTTAGTAACCACTACAAGTTTTCTATCGAACGTGGATACTTTGACTATGCATGGGACTTGTGTTGGAAAATGGAATTAAAATCGAAGGAGGTTAGTTTAAATTTTAAAATTGGAATTCGAAATTGGAATCAGTTTTCGATTGTTTTTTTTTTCAAATTCCGTGTTGCGTCGCAAAATGTTTTCTAACTCAGGATCCTATACAAGTTTTATAAATTTTTATAGCGTGACGTATTGTAGCGGTTGAATTTTAATCAGTTTTTTCCGTACTTGATTACGTAAGCAAATGATTGATTCACACCAACATTATTTCTGATAACAACAATAAAGAATGACTCAGGATTTTTAATTAGCCAGTTATGTTATAACTGAATTGTTTTAAGTCTCCAGAAGTAGATATATAACCACCATTTTTTTTAATGTTATAGCGTCAAAACATCTGTTTAAAAATATCCTACTATCCTGCTCATTCTCTATGTGTAACAAGGATAGCAATATCATTTAAAGGAACATATTTCCGCAGTGGAAACTCACCTTGTTTCACTAAACAAGGTGAGTTTCCTCTGCGGAAGGTAAGTGTACCTTCTTATTCTGTAAATTCTGACTGGTAAGGTCATTACCTTTTCATGTAAAAATTTGAGTATGTAAATATCATGTTTGCTAAGAACACTGCTGCCATTTACAATCATTATTTAAACCACACCTTCTGAAGTTTATTTTGCCGATCTCCGTAACTGCCACTTGCCTATTGGGGCCACTATAACAGCGTGTTGAGTCTGAAGAGTGTTTAATTACTTTTATTATTAATTTTTTATTTATTTTTTAAAAAAGATAATAATTTATTTAATCTCTTCCACATATGACGATAGCTATGTTTTCAATCCAACGAATTATAAGCATCCATGTTTCCTGCTATGTTAATTCGCTATTTTCGTAGCCTACGAGTCAAAGTCCTTCATCCGCGGAACTGTAAACGCTGATTCATAGATCGCACTCGAACCAGCGATTCTATTACTTCCAACAATTGCTGGACCGATAACTATACATTGAAGCTTAGTTAATTCAGATGAAACTTCTTGTGAAGTATACTTTTTATATATTTAGTGAAGACGATGATTTCATGCCGGAATCTTTTTCTCATTATTATGAACTAGCTGTTACTCGACTTTGCCCGCGTGAAATTAAAAAAATAATTAAAACTTGCCTTTGTTACTAACTGATAACGTAATTTTTTAATGGTGAAAGAATTTTTGAAATCGTCAAATTAGTTTTTGAGTTATTTCTATATTTCAAGCGCCAATAGCCTAATCGTTTGTGGTACAGACTACCGATCTTGTGGTCAAGGGTTCGAATCCCGCCATTGCCCTGAACCATATCCTAGCACAAGCCTAGAGCTTAGTTGGAATGATTAAAGGAAATATTAGTAAATTAACAAAAATCTACTATTATTTAAAAAAAAAGTATTAAGTTTGTCCAAATAGTTTATAAGAAAATATTTGATTTTAAGAGTTTGACATTATTAAGGTCCGTTTTAAAATCATTGATTGTACAGTCAACAAATTATATGGTTTATACTTTTAAATACATATAAAATGTTTATTTCTTTAAACAGAACGAGATCAACAGTCAATATGAGCGTGTGTCTACCAGCTCAAAGCGTTACGGTAACTTCGAGGACCTGCCCTACAGCCCTATACACGCCTCGCAAAATGTGACGCAAGACAGGTCAGTACCACGACTTTGTAAGACTCAAGGCCTGTCCCACAATTCTTGTAAATTGTCAGATAATAATCCAATGTATAAAATGCGTAATGGTAATATCGGATTTTGGTATTTTATCTGACAGTGACACTTTTAAGCTATCTGCTCTTTTATCAGTCAGTGGTGGGACAGTTCCTTTTTTAATATTGTTTACCTTACTTTCCCTCCATGTTTATTGTTTTTTATGTTATCTTAGCGATTGTCATACTATTTATATTGTTCATATGCGAAAACTATATTTTCTAGCTTTCCTATTTAATAAAAAATAAATAAAATCAAAACTTCCAAGGGATTAGCTAATGATAATCAAAAGCATTTATAACAGCCAACCCTACAATCTTGCTTTCGTTAAATACGATTGTTAAAAAAATATTCAGTGACATATGGCCGTGAAATTTAAATGGCCCTTTAAATTTTTCTCCCTACATTGTTTACGTGATTTTGAAGGTCTGGCATTCCGCCCCTTCGCTCAACCCCAAAGAACTTTAACTGTATTATTTGTTTATGCTTTCAATTGTATGTGAGCGCATGCAACTAACTAGGGTGCATGAGGGTTGTCCAATTTAAAATTCTGTTTATTTCAAAAGTTAGAAGCAAACACAAGCGATTAAATGTAAAAATCTAAAGTAAATAAGATATATTTAGATATATTTGGCAACTATGTAACCTTTGGGATGATTTATGTTAAAAAAAATGCCCATACTCGTTCAAAACTGTGTTTTCACACGGTTTTTCACAAAATATATGAAAAACTAAATTGTGAAACAAAATATTCCTCCCCTCAGAGTATTATAAATTGCACATAGAAAGTTTCTGCTTCCCACGATACTAGGGTCAACGTCAGATAAAGGTCGAAAGATAAGTCAGTGAAAGGGTTCGCTTAGATCCTGTTTTCATTACTCCGAACAACCCGAATAGAATAATTTTACAACATAATAAACCCTTAAAAGGGTTAAATATAAATTGCACTAATACATGTGTAGACAAAATTTTTATCTCTAAAGTGGTTAGCCCAAATAAGTCTACAATTATTATCCTTTATACAGACCCATATCCTACACAATGTGTCGTTAAGATCCGTAAAGATCATTTCTAAACAGCATTATAATAGACCTTAAGTCGTTACACTTAGAGTATATTATTGTAGGTCAACAAGGTACAGTAGCCCGGCGTACAGCGCGTGTTCGACAGACAGCTCGTTCGCCGAGCAGGCGCTCGCTGACGCCAGCGTTCTGTTAGAGCGCGAACCCAGCTTCGACCACCTGCCCTCCAGACTGTACAAGATGGCCGGCGAGTACTGGAAGTGAGTTACGAATTTATGACGTCATAGACGTACCATATACACTCTTGTTTTTAAATGTACATCGATATTTGTGTGGAGTTAAATGAAAAGGGGGATATTAGGAAAGATGAAAATGAGAAATAAGTCATTGCTACTCCTACCTATTTACTCCTAAATGTCATGCAATTAAGGAAGAAAAACTTAAACTTCACTTTGACACTAATGCTAGACTCCTATTCAAAATAGTTATTTTAAATTATTACAAACTACCTGTTGTTCGCGTCTTCGTCCGCGCGGAAATTTCAATAGAAATAAACCTAACCTATATATTTACTCAGTGATAATGTAGCTTTTTAATGGTGAAAGATTTTTTTTAAATCGGTCTAGTAGTTTTTGAGTTATTTCAATACATACAAAAATACAAATTTTTCCTTATAGAATTAGTATAGATATCCGAAAACTTTGTACAAATCGGAATTTAAGACTGCGCATTGCTTAATCCCTAAGTATTACGGTCTAGTTAGCTGCTAGCTTATTGTTTTCCTTAGGTTTAACCCGACCTCGTGACCCCGCCTACTCACATAAAATACATTCGTTATACTTTTTTTTCTTATCAATTGTTCCAATTCTCAGAATACAATTATAAATAATTTACTGCATTGATAAATAAAATAAGCCATTATAAGAATGAGAAATTAATACAGACGCAAAATGAAAACGTAATAAAAGTTTGCATAAATAATTTGTATTGACTTTTTGATAAAAAAAAAACCAAAAGCGCCTATGGCCTTCCAGACTATTCTCTACATTTAATACCAAATTTCATCGAAATCCGTTCAGCCGTTTAGCGTACAAACCCTGCCAAAGATCCATCCGTCAATCCATCTAAACTTTCGCATTTATAATATTAGTATGATTTACTTTTGAATAATTATTTAAAATTTAACCGAAAATTTTGTTATTGATTTTGTACGACCTTACTCCAGTTTTCCCGCTTTGTTTCGATTCGCTCTTGAGGCGTTTCAACTAGCAGATATCGTGTTTTGCATACTAATTCAAAGGAGAGAACAAAGAACACTAATAAATTCAAAATACCTTGAGTAAATAGGAAAAGGATGATCTTTGTTTTTTTTTATTGTGTAGAAATGTGATAGTAAATACAGATAAAAAAATGACGTATAAATGTATTAAAATTCATTATTTATAACTATTTTAATTTAATCGTATAATTTATTGATTTTTTATCGTTATGTTGGTGTTGTCATATAAAAATATGATCTGTCAAATACTTTATTGTTGAGGGTATACAAAAATCTCTATGGAATTATCTGCGCGCGCGCATTGCTAACTGTTTTTCGTTGACATTTCAAATTTAAATAATCAATATGTTATTGTTCCGCTGGTTTTTGTTATTTAGACGTTAGTGTTTTCACATTTTTAATATTTAGTTATTTATTATTAGTTTATTTGTGACGAAATATGGAGGTGTTAAGAGTTGAAGAAGTAGAGACTTTGGAAAATGTTTTCACACTAAGGTACACAGTTTTTAAAAGAATTTAAAAAATTAACGTTATTCGTATTTCTAGTGAAAGCTTTATATTAAACTAGCTTTCATCCGCGACTCCGTCTGTGCGTGATTAAAAGACTGTTCGATTTTTCTTCTAGACTATGTTCTACATCTGTGCTAAATTTCAACGAAATATGTTAAGCCGTTTTGGAAATATGACGTAAGAAACATCCATCTCCATCCATCCCTCTAAACATTCACATTTATAATTATTTAATTTTGATTATTCAACCAAGAGCATTCGGTTCGATTCGTTTCGTAAAACGAACACTAAAACTATATTCGAGTAGTTCTAATTCTGTATCTCAGTGGCGCAAATGTCAATCGAAGCACAGTTCTTGTAGTCACTGTAAACAGTTTATAAACCAACTGTAGACCGCGACTCCTTTCACGTGGAATTAGATAATAGTAAAAAATATAGCTTATGTTACCATAGATTTTAATGTTGCAATAATTTTTGAAATCAGTCCAGTAGTTTTTGATTTATTTCAATACGTACAAAAATCCAAACGTTTCCTCTTTATAATATTAATATAGATTTGTTATTAAATAGTGATTTCGTAATGCATAATGTTACTTTGTAAGTGCATTGTGGTTTAGTGAAATGTTGAGACAAAGCGGATCAAATGTCTGAACTAGAAACTAGCGGCTTGTTACACTTTCAACTTGGAAATGTAAATAATGAGGTTTTGTATCCGTTGTAGACATCTCGATATTTGTGTTTGGAATTCTATTCCTTTCCTTCTAATGTGGTAAAATTACTAAAGTCTACCTTATTTCGTTTTTTGATGTAGAATAAGATTTACTATTTTATTTTTGCAATGGCAACCACTATATGTCGTAATATTAGAATAAACCTCTAAACATTGTTTCATTGAAATCTGATATTCCCACCTGTGGTTTAATTTTATTCCTTCTAATCAATAATCCTTTTATTCCCTTTAAAACTGGATATTTTTACACTGGATCCACATTAACTAATATTTTATTTTTTCCATATACTTTAAAACGACTATTTCTTGTAGCAAGTACCCGAAAACGGACTACACGTACTCCCCGCTGTCTCGGGACCGCGTGGAGCTGGCTCCGGGGCAGGTGGCCATGCCCAACATGTCTCGGAAGTCCCTCGCGCAGTTCCGCATGGAGTCCCCGCCCGGGGAGGGCAGCGACGTGCCCGACCGCATGCCCTCCATCGCCTCCTGGACTGCCACCGCCACGCGCAAGAGATTTACGGTCAGAACAATAAATAACTTAGTAAATTATTATCAAATATGTCCAAACCGATCATTAATTATGATATAAGAATTTTATTTACCTTAACAAAATTAATTTTATACGCCCTACCAAGTTTCAGCCTAGACCTTAGTCAGTAGATAAAATGTCAATAGGCTAGTGTGTATCTATGAGGATTTTTAATCTATATTTTGACCGTAACTTTGTCACTTGAAATAAAAAAAAGAATTAGTAGCCTATGTATATTTGTACCAATTTTTTTCTTATTACCGAATTGTACTGATAATACCTTCTAAAAACACCCACCACCACATCTAAACTCTCGCATTTATATCTATGTTTGCAGAGTATCGAAAGTTCAGACGACGAGGGTGCGTATATGCAGAAGAGCGCGCACCCTGAGGAGCGCTGGTGGTTCTCTCGGCTGCTGGTGCTGATGATGAGCAGCTTCTCCAGCGTCACCAGTGCCGCGCGGAACACGTACAGGAAGATATTCGGACCCCCCCATAGATACCCTTACACTGATAGAAGACCCGCTAAAGGTAAGACAAAAGCTTTATCTATACTAATATTATAAAGAGGAAAGATTTGTATTTTTGTATGTATTGAAATAACTCAAAAACTGCTGGTCCAATTTTAATAAAAAATAAAATTAAAGGTCAAGTCAAGAGCTTGACAAAA